GTCAAGTTTCATGACCTAAACAGTGAGAGAAAGTATTACAGAATGTATTTCTGTCTTTGTAAATCACTATTTAATCGAAATATTCCATTTTTTTCTTATAATCATATAGAAATCATGAATAATGCAAGGGAAATTGCCAATTATAACATTCAGTTTAAAAAAAAAAGTTTTTGAACTAGAATAGTACACACAATTAGCTTCAGAAGAAATTAAAAAAAAGTATGTGGTAAAAAATAATTATATAAAGTGAGGGGTTTTGGACCAGTAAATAGTTACAAAAAATACTGATCCCAAGATTAGGTGAAAAATTTCCAGCAATGAAGGGGGAAAAATGTTTCAGCATTTTCCCTGATTGCATGTTTACCTCTATTTTGTCATACTTTGATTAGAAATAATTGTTTCAAGGCATACATTCAGTGGCGGATCCAGAAATTTTCATAAGGGGGGCCCGCTTAGTCATGCTTCAGTGATTCCCTAGATAATCAACCAAATTTTTCTCACACCCTGCCCCCTAAATCCGTCTCTGACATTACCTTAGAAGAATCAAGTGTTATTCTTGAATACACATAAATACTTCATTTTGATTCAGCATTCAAGGATTCAAAAACGGATTTTTTTCTTTGTAGATCTACATGAAATAATATTTTATAAAAATTATGGGTATAAAATGTACATGTTTTATATATTATATTCTAGAGTTACATTTTTAGAGAATTTTTGTTAAGAGCCATTGTCAGTTATATCTGTGAACTAAAGATTTTGTGCCATTCTAAATGGGTGATACATGTTTATATATGCCATAGTTACATACATATTATGTATCTGAGGTCTAATGATGAACACTGAAATGTAACAACTCCTGGTCACTGGCATAGGATACCCATGACAATGTTTATTACAAATGGAAATATCAAGCTTAAGGTACTCTATAAAAAAGGCTTCCCATTCACCAAACATGTTATTTCTATGTGTATGTAGGTAGCAATATTACAAGGTAATAAAAATTTACCAGAAAAATATAATCAGGGCTTTATTTAGAGACTGAGTGAAAAAGTAAAATCTTTTCCTGAACAAATTAATGTCAGGTTGCATGTTTTCTTTCCCATGGTTTTTCATTCTAATTCTATTTTGACCTTTGGCCCGACAGTGATTGCTAACCTGTCATTTGTTTTGTTATGTGTTGTCTCATTTCAGAAATTGGGGATTATAAAATAAAACATTTATAAAATACAGTTGTTTCTGTTTTTAATCATTTAGAACTTATCAGGACTTGAGAGATATAGAGCTTGGCATATGACATGGATACCCATCCACCATTTACAGTCCCCTCCAATCATGTATATCAAATAACTAAATATTGCAAAACATGCAATAAACATGATAAAGTAAAATGCCAACATACTGTAGAAAAACTGAAAATAGTATTTCACTAATAATATGAAATTTTGTATCTTTTAGTGGATATAAATTTATGTATTGTAATCAAATTAAAAAAAAAATCACAACATAAAACATGGACATGGGGTGTGAAAAATAATTATAAAATTGGTATGAAAAGCTTTTTTAAGTCTTAATTGTACCATCAGAGAGATATAAAACCATCTCTGGTATCATATACTTAAATATGTTTAATACTGAAGAATTAAAAAAAATATATACCATGTTGACCTGATATATAAATCCTCAACAAATGCAGGTATATACAGCTAAACAACTGTAAACATAAAATGGACTAAATCATCATACTATATATAGGGATTAATTTAGGTAACCTGGATGCAGATTGAACAACCATCTATGGAACAACTAATGAATGTGTTTAAAGATGAACAGTGAATGAGCACAAACAATATTATATTATGATGTGATATCATCTTCATTCTTTTGCAATTACATCTGTAAGCTACAAAATAAAAATCTGACTGTTCAAACTGCTTTTCCTCTGTCTTTTATCTATGATATATCAGATCTTAGAATGTTTACACTGGTGACTGGTGTCATGTCATTCAGGACAAATTCTGAAATGCTAACATATATATATATATATCACAATAATTTACACCTGGACTTCCCCAAAAAGAATGCACTGATTTAGGGATATTATTGGGAGGTTTATTTACATAGTCCTTTATGCATAAGGTATTAAATTCAGAATATTTGTTCGATTTTTAAGAAAGTAGACAGTTTTTTTTCCATATTTTGTAATTTTGTGTACTGAAAGACATCATTGAGGCATGAAAGGGAAAATAAATCACAAAAAAATAACAGATTTTATTCATTTCAATGACATGTTGACTATCTTTTCCTCTGTGACAAGTTTGTCATATTTCTGAGCTGTCTTGGTCAAGAGCAGAGAAGTTTTAAGAAAAAATAATAGGGAGTCCCCACAAATTGTGATGTGTACTGAAATTGTGCTCGTGTGTAAAGAACGAATGGTAACGTCATGTTACCATCCCAGTTCTGTTCTCCATGTTCCAGTTTATCAAAATAAACCAGTCATATTTATTTTTCCTAGGTAAACCAGGCCTGTGTCAATTCGTCCCGAGCTGAAAATTTGTCAATGACAGTCGAAGTTGAAAAATGGCGGTACCGAAGACTGAAAATTAATGACTTGAATTTCTTTTTCAACGATACATTACTTCGACTTTTTATACTTTTCAAATAATCTAAAAACTTACGATATCATGTATACCGCTCATGATCTACGTTTGGTTTCTTAAAATTTCACAAATTCACGATTTCCTACCGGGTCGTCTTCCGCGGGGAATTATTTTTCAGCGCAGCGACACCTGTTGACGGCTTTCTCGGAAATTATCTCCACTTGATTCTCGGATAATAAATCCGGGGTTTTAAAGGACAAATCAGGGATTTGCTGTCCGCCGGGCTGCTTGTAAACCATGTGTTACCATTTGTTTTGTTACTACCTATAATGACCTTAGTATCAACTGAATAAATTGAAATATTTTGAAAGTTCGTTTTGGTAACACCCCTGAAAAATTTCTGGATCCGCCCCTGTTGATCCTTACAAGCATTTGACAAAAACAAAATAAGGAAAGGGATAGTGCTTTACTTCTGTTTTCTTAAAGTTTACTTGCAATTATTTTACTTATGTTATCAAACATTCCTTTTATTCAATGATATTATAAGCAAGCTGTGTATTGGACTCTGTGTATTGTGTATATCATATGCTAATACATAGGTATTAATTATGTACCATCATGAGATGAGAATATATATTCTCTCCGTAGTGTTATTTTGATATAAAACTAATAGTAATCTCAGTGATAAATAAATATTTTTGAAACCCGCTGTGAGATACTAAAACTTTTAGAAACTGGATTTAAATTTAAAAAAAAACATATAGACCTATAATGATTACTTAGAAATACGGACGCACATATAATAATGTCTTTGCCACAATTATTATATAAGAACTATTGTACAAAATAAATGCATTCAGTTTAGAGTTACAAAAATGTTTGTAACTTTTCTTTGTGATTAATTCATTTTTATTAAATTTTCATTATTTAAGAAAAACTGCATTCTTTGTTGTATACCTCATAGTCGGATCCAGGGGGTGGGACTGGGGGGGGCCACCCCCCCCCCCTTTTCGTGGGAAAAATTTGGTTGATTATATAGGAAATCACTGAAGCATGACTGTAGCGGGCCCCCTCTTATAGCAGTCATTGTGCCCCACTTATAAAAAGTTCTGGATTCGCAACTGTACCTATATGATTTAAAAAATAAATCACCGGTGATTTACTCATAAAAGTATTTGAAATGCTTATACACACTCATTCTCGATCTAAGTTTTAATAGTTAATTCCAATCTGTATCTGAATAACTGTATTTGTTTGATGGTAACTGGTCTACCAACAGCATTCCGTTAATAACTGGTAAGGTGTTAATATGGCGCTGTATTTCTTTCTCTTTGAATGTAAGCATTCTAAAGAGTTCAGTACCGAATCAATGATCCGAATTGGATATCTATTAGTATCTGTTACTATGTTGATGCTTTTATGAATTTACCCCTCTTATAGCAATTGCTGTAAATCTGTACACGCAATGTAATATCACCTCAGTCTCTGTAGATCTTCAAAGTAGATCTTCAAAACAACACGTGGTGCAGGGTTCAAATGCCCTGTCGAAGACCACGATCATATGACTAGTGACAACCCTGATCCATAGGATTTTAAGAGTTTGAAATCATTTTCTCATCTTAAATCCAACTATGTCCTGGTAAGCCACATCTGTAGAAGTTTTGAGGTGCAGATGCCTTGTTGTATCTCTGTTATTCTCCATGATGTCGGTTGTACTGTCCTCTGTTGATTCTATAACCCTGACCCCTGGCTGACCATCTACCTCTAAACTGTGTTTCCCATATATCCATCCTGGTAGTCGGATTTGTTGTATAAGTATTCTGTATGGTAGAGTCAGTTTTGCAGTAACTGGCTTTCACACTAACAAATGTCTGTCAGATGTTTGTATTAGTTTGTTAACGTAACTTGCTTGATTGATGTCCGATTGAGCTTATTGTTAAATTGTGTATGTCAAGTTGGTTAATAATGGAATCATTTACCGTTTTATTAGAGTTCAAATTTTGTAAATTTCTTTAAAAAGCTTAATCTGAACATAAAAATATTCAAGTCAAATTGAAATTTTTTAACAAACTTAATCTGTAATATATTCAAGTTAGATTTATATTCACGTTAAATATAATCACAATATTAATGTTCATACACCTAATCACTGTATTATATATATATTTCATTATGAATATGCAATTTAAACACTTGCCTTTAAGTTAATATCGACAAATGTTTCCAGAAAATATTTCACTTTTACTTTCGGAAGTTCTTTAATCGTATATATTCAACTAAAAACCTCATTTGATTAGTAAGAAAATCCTTATTTAGCTTTACACGGCTAATGCTATAGAAACAAACTAATATAATGTTCTGGTTTAGCGATGCACATGTTTTTTTTGAATATTTTTTTAGGGTTATTCTTCTGTGACAGAAAAGGACAAGGAGAATTTCTATGGACAAAGAAGTACTCGAGGAAAGTTCTACAGAAATATAAAAATCCCAAGTAGAAGAAATATAAGCAACAGTAGTTTAACGATGTTCAAACAAGACAACACCTTTATCAAAAGTAAAATGACGAAAAGACAAAAAATGACAAAAAATTATATTATGTAATTCTATAACTGTAAAACCTAATCGAACTTGTAAAAGTTTGAAATGAAAACAACATTTTCTGTTCAGAGAAAGGACAAGACTGTTACCTTCAGAGATTCACATCTAGTCTTTTAATTTTATAGGAAAACAATATATTCACAGATAAGATCCTAATTACAGTTGTAAAATATTTGAAAATATTCAAAGTTCAAAAATGGCTGTACCAAGTCAGGAATATGACAGTTGTTATCCATTTGTTTGATGTGTTTGAGCTTTTTTGCCATTTGATTACGGACTTTCCGTTTTGAATTTTTCTCTGAGTTCGGTATTTTTGTTATTTTACTTTTTTCTATGCTATCTGCAACCCTATACAAAAACAAAAGATGAATAACGCTTTATAATTTTCATGCGTCCGAAACGCCTTTCTGAATTCACCTTCACTGATACTGTTAAAAGTCTATTAATTTGTCTCATGTTTCAAATTCCCTTCTTTGAGTTTTCCATGAAAAAAGATTCATACCATTAAAAAAAAATCTGTTAGTAAAGGTCAGGCTGATATCCAGTTAAAATTGATCAAAAGAAATGGAACTCTTTATTAGAGAAGGTAAAAATGGCCAGGTTGGTATATTTTGAATTGTTTTCATATGTTTCTATATGGGCTGTAAAAGTTTAATGTAGGTGCTTAATTTCTGAATTTTTGTATCTTATGTACACATATGTACGTGTTTATACTTAATTTATAGTTTGGAGCTTCGATATATTTGTAAACTTATAAATTAAAGACAAATTTTTACTAAACAGTCGATTATGGTAGGTGCAAATACCTGTAGATTTTTTTCCGTGCATAAGCATAAATTTCGCCGACAAAAATTCCACAGAAAGATAAAAGATTGATCTTTTTAAAACATTAATTCGCATCTCTCGCCCCGCAGCAGTTTTTTTTGGGGGGAAAAGATCCTTAAAATAGACAATAATCTCATCGAAGAGAAAGTCACCTTTTTATGTTCAGGCGTGTTTGAGTTGACTATTTTGTCTTGAAAACGTATAAAGCAACAATATTTAGTACACCGTCTCGCTTCAGATTCTAATAATTTTTTAATATATTTAGGCTACATTTTGATATAGTAACATTACAAATTCACAGTACCAAAAATTAAAATATATGGGTCGAGCGAAATGCCTTTGTATTGAGTCATAACATTAGAGTAGGTGTGTTTGAATAACAAAGGAGTAAGTCCAGTAAGATCCCTTTTTGGCCCCAAAATTAAGCAGTTTTACAAAATTGTTAAAATGTAAACTTTTAGTTATTTATTGGAAAGTAGAATGCTTCTGCTACATAAATATGGACTGTTTTTGACAATACAATGCACATATATCGGGAACTAGCATCATTAAGTCATGCTAAGTTACTGAAATCTTCACAATTTTAGCATTTTAGTTAAATTTTAGACGGTTTCCGTCTTAAATGAAAGTGGCCGCATTTGTGTTCATTCTTAATATTGAAACGTAAGTTGTATTTGATGATAACACATAACATATGTAAAGGTTGAGGATGAACACGGATGCGGCCATTTTCATTTTTGGCAAAAACCATCTGAAAAGCGACATTTTTTGGCATATTTGATAGATTTTTCATATTTAAGCTTGAATCGGAGCGTTTTTAATGACTAAATCAGTTTAAATCTTTCACATAAACTAATAGAATCAACCAAAATAGACACTTAATAGTTTAAAAAGTGTCCAAAATCTTTCGTCAGATGCACCTAAAATTTGAGGCCAAAATCGGCCCTTACCGGACCTACTCCTTTATAATACAAAATAACAAAAAGCATTTGACGACATACTTTAAAAGTGGATCTTAAAAATGCATATCTTCAAAAAAAAATCATTTTTTTTGGTGTATTATCAAGGATTATTCGTCTTCAACTTCTGACAGTTTATAGTCTGCTCTTCCAAAAAATATTTAATCAGATTTTTTATTGTTTTTTGAACTTACAAATCAGAAAATAGTTTTGAAGTTGTAAAAGGCGTAAAAGTACATACCATGATGCTTTAATAATAGCTAGTAGATACATTTGTCCTTTAAAATACAAATGTCATGTAAGAATGGCAATGATGCTAGGATAAATTTATTTATTTATTCAAGAGCTGAATTGACAGCGCGTCAACTCATCCCTTCAATGGCTTCCAATTTTGCGATTGAAAAAATGGGGAGATAATTTTGAAGAAGTAGAATCCTGACTGAGGTGCGCAGTTAAGAATGGTTAATTATACAAACTTGATTAAGTACCCCTTTTGTTGTCGATTGTGAGTTTTTATTTTTTTCATTTAACTTCAATTATTTATAGTAAGTTTAGAGAGGGTTGATTTGTATTATTTTTTATTTTTTCTGCAAGTTTATCTTGAAATTTTAGGACGAGTTTAATGTAAACAATATTTCACATAGGGTCGGTTCTGCACAATCGGTCGTCTCTGATTAATTGTTGAAAATTTCGACTGCCAGTGGAAAAATGGGCTTATTATTTGGATAAAGGTGAAATGTTTGCTTTAATCAGGTTCCAAAGAATTTGAATGATCTCCCATTAAATAATGATGTATAACTCGTGTAGACAATCATAAACAATGATATATAACTCGTGTAGACATTTATAAACAAATTTTTCACACGACTACTCGTTGTCTGCCTATGGAAACTATTGTTTTTGTCAACAATGAATAACCTTCCACCATTTCGGGGAAAAGACCCGTTATATACACAAACAAAATGATTGTTGTAATGACGGATTTTCTTTTTCCAAATCTTTCGAATGGAGCTTGAGAGTTTTTAGTTTAGGAGACGACATTGTTATTTGTCTTTTGACTATACTGTCAACTTTTATATCATTGAAAACAAAAGTAAAAATCATTTTCAGAAAATTATGTCGGCGATATTTATGTATTAAGATAACATATTCTCATTTTTTGGTAAGGTTAAAACTTTTGTCGTCTAACAGGCCAACTGCGATCCACGGACTCATATCATTTTGAACGACCTTTCATAAGATAATAATGCTCTTCAATTTCGTATTTTATTTGGCCTTTTTAACTTTTTTGATTAGAGCGTCAATGAGGAGTATTTTGTAGACGCGTCTGGCGTACACAATTGTAATCCATGCAGTCAATTTTCCCCAAGAACTTTGTTTGGGAAGTCTTTTTTCGGTCACAGAGGGAAACCTTGACAAAGTTGTCACAACACGTTTGTGATGTTTGTATATAACCAACACCAAGCTATCTAGCTGCTAATATGAAAATGTTATACAAATCGAATTGTGCTTGATACGGGGTTTTAATTTAGGACATGGTATACCAATTACTCTTTATTACTATCCACTTTACTTGAGTTTTATTTTTGTGTTTGTGTAATTCCTTATAAAGTTATACGCCAAGCGCATATTCATGGTAGGTATTTATGATAACATCACTTTCTAAAACAGAGCTAGAAAATGTATTTTCTGAAAACTTTGTTCATTCTTTTATAAGTTATTTAAAAAAAAACCACATTTCATACAAAGTCTACACTAATCTTATACAAGTACATGTGCGTTATTTGATATTCAAATAAATAAAGTGAAATATGCGACAACTTAGGTTATAAAAACTATTTCCAAGATCAAATTTAAAAAGTGATTATTCGAATTAAATTAAATGTATAACGATTATTTAAAAAAAAACAACAGGAAAAGATATTAAATAGAGATAATCAAAATTAAAACAGACTACACCATGCCTACTGCAATACAAAATATGGCACGCACTTCAATAAGACAGCAACTAAGCAAATTAAGTAACAAATCGAGACATCTTAGTCAATAACGATGGAAATGGACAATAGGACACACAGTATTTACAAGTCAAGGTAACTATCATGATATGAATAATCCAACAGAGACGAGCACATATTTTATCTTTCTCCAGCTTTTGATAATTTCATATTAAAGTATATTTTATTTGTTTGATGACGTGAACAGATGGCAATAGTGATATTGATTTAACGGCTAAGTATACATTCTTTTAGTTTTTTTTTATTCAAAATAGTTGCGTAAACATTGGGTCGTAATTTACACTTGGATTTTAGAAATACGGAACGCTAACCTTATATTAAATCTATGTTCTTTTTGTAAGCCTTTTCAAACTTATGCTGTGTCAAACCTTACGCATCGTACAATAGCATAAGTATATTAAGAAAACACAGAAACAAACAGCTGTCTGCTTACACGGTACAACTAAGCTTACCGATTTGTTAAGCAAAACATTAAGTCATTTTTTAATACAGCAGCTACATGTATAGCGAAATATTCCTTGCTCAGAGTTTTTATTTCTTCATTTAAACACCTGATTCAGTGTCATAAGATTATGACTTTAAGATTAAATAGAGATTAAAAGATTTTTCATATAAAAAAAACCCATGTGAAACTCTTGTACAAACATCTAGTTTTATGAACAGACAAATAATACTGTGTTAAACCACTCTGATGAAACAAAACGTCTGAAAGATGTGTGATGTCTCAATTGAAACATACTTCATATTGGAACAACTCTACTTTTCTCCATGCGGACTTGTTCTCTTATTTGTAGGAGACAGACTTTATACGTGAGCTTCGTGGGAAGAATGAATCTGTCATTATCCTTTAACATTACGTTCCTCTATAAAAGATGATGTCATTTCCATAAATAATTCAAAGCATGGTGACTATCTCATTGAACACAGTTAACGTACTTCATATCTTGACTTAGATGTAGATATTGACAATAAGGGTCGGTTGAATACTAAACTTTACGACAACACAGATGCTTTCATTATTTCTATTGTGAACTTCTTTTTATTTCTGTGAAGCAACATTAAAAAAGAGAGGCGAGAGATACCATAGGGATATTCAAACTCATAAGTCGAAAAAAAAACTAATTCATCTCGGCCTCTAGTAAGTGTTCTACAACTAGTCTTTCAGTGCTTTTAACTAGTTCCTTAAGTACTATCATTAACTTTTGTAATAAAACAAATGAAAATAGTGGAATTAACTATTTCTGGAGTGTAAAAAAAATCTTTGGATAACTTACGTGCTTTTGATGGTCCTTTTGATTCTGTTGACAGTTTTGACTTTTCAACTCTTTACACTACAATTCCACACAATCTTATCAAACACAAGTTTTCCTATTTGATTTAATGGTCGTTTGGTAAATCTACATACAAATATATTTTCTGCAACTCATTTAAAGCCTTCTTCTCTAATGAGAAAGGTAAATATGCTAAATATACTTACTGGGGGTGTGATGAGATGATTGAAGCTTTTGATTTTCTCCTTGATATTATATATGTACGTTTCGGCAATACAGTTTATCGACATATTGTAGGTATTCATATGGGCACCAATTGCGCCCCTTTAATATCAGACTTGTTCTTGTATGGTTATGAATCACAGTGTATGACCAAACTCAGTAAAAACCCGTCTAATTTGCATTTAATAGATAAATTCAACAACACTTACCGTTATCTTGATAATTTTTTTTCGTTAAATAATCAAGAATTTTCTAAATATATTGCCGAAATTTATCCAAAAGAACTTACTTTAATTAAATCAAATATAAATGGTAATAACTGTCCTTTACCTAGATTTAGATATATCAGTTTTACACGGGAAACTCTACACTAAAATTTACGAAAAAAGGGACGGTTTTTCGTTCCCTTTTGTTAATTTTCCTTTTTTGGACGGTGATGTTCCTTTAGAACCATCTTACGGTTTTCATATATCACAACTCGTTCGCTATGCCCGTGTCTGTTGTGACGTTTTGGATTTCAATGAACGTAATCCATGTATTACGGGTAAACTTTTTAGTCAGGATTTCGTTACCACAAATTACTTAAAACCTTTACTAAATTCTTCAATAGATATAAAGATTTGGTTTGGAAGTTTGGTTGTACATGTAGAAACTTATTTCGGGATTACGGAGATGTTGTTTGTCGAGCCCTGAAATTAAGATACGATCCGGGTAAACTTATCAATCCTTTAGATAAACTTATTCTAAAAGGTTACCAATTCAAGTACTATAATTATATCTTTGAATATTGTTTTATTGGTATTAATATTGATTTTGTTATCAGTAAATTAAAATCAAACTAAATATTATTTTTATATACATATGCATATTCATGGCTCTACAATCTGTCGATACCTGTATCTTGGCATCGCACAAGGTCATGTTTTGTTTTTTTTCTCTGACTGTTAATGACGTCTTTACACTAAATCCATTGGATGTTGGATGTGTACTGATCGATATTTCAGTCTTAGATGCATGATTTGTTTAATTAGTTGTTATTGGTGAGAGGTTTAGCTAGCTATAAAACCAGGTTTAATCCACCATTTTCTACATAAGGAAATGCTTGTACCAAGTCAAGAATATGACAGTTGTTTTCCATTCGTTTGATGTGTTTGAGCTTTTGATTTTGCCATTTGATAAGGGACTTTCCGTTTTGAATTTTCCTAGGAATTCGGTATTTTTTTAATTTTATTTTTGGCTTTGAACTAGCTGTCAGTAACTGCGAATACTCTCAGATCTGTACTTAGTGTCGTTTTGTTGTGGGGATGTATAAGTACCCTGCCACGTCCACTCTGTGTTTTTGTTAGATGTATTTCTGCTTTGTATCCATCTCATGAGTTAAGTCTTTTTCAACTGATTTTTATAGTTTGTTCTTATGTTGTACTGTTACACCACTGTCCCATGTTAGGGGAGGGTTGGCGCCTTCAAACTAGTTTAACCCCGCAACATTTTGTATGTGCCTGTCCCAAGTCAGTAGCCTGTAGTTCAGTGGTTGTCGTTTGTTGCTGCATTTCATATTTGTTTTTCGTTCATTATTTTGTACATAAAATCAGGCCGTTAGTTTTCTTGTTTGAAATGTTTGAATTGTTTTACTTTTGTTATTTCGGGGCCTTTTATAGCTGACTATGCGGTATGGGTTTTACTCATTGTTGAAGGCCGTACGGTGCGCTATGATTGTTAATTTCTGTGTCATGTGGTTTCTTGTGGAGAGTTGTCTCATTAGCAATCATACCACATCTTCTTATTTTATATAACAATGCCTATGGCAAAAAACGAAAAACGACGAATAGACAAACAACAGTTAACAAAACACAACATAGAAAACTAAAGACTGAGCAACACAAGCCCCACCATTTGTCGTTTTTACTACCAGCTAGGTAGCAGATTGATTAATACACACCAAAAAAAACAAAGTTGGTGACCATAATTTTATGATTATTTTATATCATAAAAACGGAAATTTATGTATCAACAACATAAAATTTTCAAGATTTTAAATTGGAGATTTTAAGATTTTAAGACAAATTTAAAAACGTTTTTCGCCGATTTTATGCGCTTTCTTTACAAATGTTCACCTATTTTGAAAAAATTCAATCAGTAAAATTTCAGAAAATAGAATTGATAAATGTATTATTTTATTCGATTTTCAGTTATAATTTAATGAGTCGAAGTTGAATGCAAAATTTTACCAAAATCTGTGACATAGTCTATTAATGTTCCTTGACATTAACATGAGCAACATTATATATTCTATTTCAACTATTAGTATGAAAAGTTGGTTTGCGAACATTTTTAAGTTTCTTTTGTATTTTAATGTTTTGGATGGTAGGGTACATATTTTGTTATGGTGTAGCATTCTACTTTTTTCATTGGTTATTACGATCACGTGATGCAAAGGATATAATAGACTCTGTTTCTCACATATATATATTGACGGTCAATATTAAAAATCTTGCAAAACGCTATGTTTCTATTTATATATATATGTTGTGTACAAGTTATCATTTTGTACAAATTATAATTTGAACAAAAAAATTGTACACATTATAATTTGTATTTTGACTTTGTACAAATTGTAATCTGTACAAAAAAAGCTTGTACAATTTGTACAAAATTTGACTAAAATTCACTTATAACTTGTATAATAATTTAAAGTATGGATTTTGTTATAATAAACATTGATACACACCATAGAATTTTTATTCAATGACCACACAATAAACCTTATTTACAAAATACAAATATACCCAGATGGAAATGTAATTGATACATGCATGCCAGTTAATTCTGATAGTACAATCGAAATTGGCCCCAGTGACAATTCTGACAGAATAATAAAAATTCGCCTAGTGACAATTCTGATAGTATAATAGAAATTGGCCCCAGTGATAATTCTGATAGTATAAGAGAAATTGGCCCGAGTGACAATCAGGATGATACTGACGTTGAAACACCAATCATACGTGCCAGGAAGCATACGCTGTCTGGCCAACAGATCCAAGCCGAAAACGAAACGGAAATAATAAGAATTTGCTGTGGGGGATAATGTCGCCGGTTATACCAATTCCTCAGTGTGATCTTGCCCCAACTGATCCTCGAAATATCTTAGTTGTGATTATTGAATCTGAAGAATTTGGGTACCACATTGGAACAGCTGTAGGAATTTCAACAGGATATTTGTCGTGAAATCAAATTGAAGCTGTTGAAGACACATCTTTATTTGCAGCAGCAGTTCCTGAGCTTCAATTTTCGCTACGTGAAGCAGTTAAAAAGCTTTCAAAAACTGATGGTCAGGGATTTCTTATATGTAAATGCAAAGGAGGGAGCAGCACTTCTAAATGTAAATGTAAAAAGCAAAATTGTTGTGCATTTCTGATTCCATAATTCACTCACATGCTCAAACAAATGATAAAGAACTATTTTTGTATTTTGTAAATAAGGTTTATTGTGTGGTCATTGAATTAGTACAAAATGATAACTTGTACACAACATATATATATTGACGGTCAATATTTAAAATCTTGCAAAATGCTATGTTTCTGTTTCTATATATACTGACGGTCAATATTAAAATCTTGCAAAATACAATGTGAAATAATATAGTATTAATTGTTGGGTATTTTCATAATGGCCATGTTATATGTCCAAGGTCTGTTATAATGGTCGAGGATGCCTGTAATGGCACGAGGCAATACAGAGGGACATTACAGCCTCCCAGGCCATTATTACTGACCGAAGACAAATAACAGGGTCAATCTGAAAACACCCATTTCTTAACACTTTTATTTACCAAACTGCCAGTGTGTAATATTTAACCAAGCCAAATCAGTTTTTTGTGTGGAGAAATTGTATATATATAATTATACCAAATGCAATATTAAAAAGAAATAAAGATTTATTGTTGTCATATTCAAAGCAATTTATGGCATACAAAATACAAGATTTCATTCTGGATTTTAAAACTCAAAATAAATAAGTTAGTAAACATCATGGAATTAATTATGTAATTATTAACTTGACAACTGGGTCAAATAAGATGAGTCATGATTTTCGGGAACATTCATTTTCTTGATGTTTCTTTTTCCCAGAAATGAATTTGATTCGATACAACTGAAAATCCATAATGGCCCTGTTTTTTTTCATAATGGCCCTGTTGTTTCGTAATGGCCCTGTTTATTCATAATAGCCCTGTTTATTCATAATGGCCCTGTATTAATGCCCTGTTAATCTGTAATGGACCAGTTTTGGTTTTATTAATAAAGGGGCAGTTTCATACATATTGCACTAAACTGGTTAATAAACAGAAAGAACATTGAGGTCCATTTCCATAACACACTATTTACTGGACATATGTGATATATAAATTAAGGACTTTTACTCAGGCAATACGTTATATATGGACCTGTTAGATTATACTGAACCTTGGACTTCGTCCTCGGTCAATATAATCTGAACAGGTCCATATATAACGTATTGACCTCGTCAAAAGTCCCTAATTAATAAATATTTCAGTTAAAACACATTTATTTCATGAACAACAAAATAACTAAAAGTAACTTTTGTTTAGAAAAGATCCAAAATATTGTGTTGAAATCTTTGAAGTTTGTTACTTGATCGAAAGAAATTCAAAACTACATAAAATTTCATTTCAAACTTATACTACTCAGTCGATCTATAATATATTAAATAAATGCAACTTAATGCGAAAGTAATATTATTTTGAATGACGAAATAAACACATTTTTTTTCAAAAGTATACAAGAATAGCACCGAGGTAGTTTGTATCAATGCGATACAGAAACCGAAGGTAGAAATAATAATTTTCAGAAAACTGAAAAACATTTTTAATCATCTAGTCCATTGTATAGTTTATCTTTATCAATTTCTTTTTAAATTTCGTACTTGAACTAATTGCATAACAAATTGTTCATAATATATTAAGTGCATGCGAGATAAGTACGAGATCAAACTAGACAAGTAACAATATCTTGTTTCAAATTTGTTAACGACTTACTCTATATATTACAAGGACAAATTATATAAATATTACGTCAATCTATTATCCTACTTTCTATTTGTCTTTTATTTATTTTTTCGTTTGGTTGCTGTCTCATTGATGTTACCCTTCATATTTTCGCCAATATGATCATCTGTTTTCGAAAAGCTCACTTAATTTGAAGGTTAAAAATTGAAAAGTTTTAGTATTATGGATTGTGCAATTATACGGAATACCTGCATGTAATACTATTAAACCAATATTTCACCCTCTATATGAGGACTAGGGTTACCGTAGCAAATTTGCAGAAAATATATGATTTAACATGACATCATATCTGTGAGATGACCATGATGTTAATAGCCACATTTGAAAATAAGGAATGTGTTTCAAAGTCTAATACAAGATTCGATCATTATTCAAGATAGCAAAGATAATGGAATAATCATAATGGAATCTTTAATGTTTTTGTTTTTAACATAATTTTCTGTGATAAAAAGTTTTAATCATCTATATTTGAATCAATCAGAATGTTATCTTTTAGTTAATGTTTACAGTTTTCTATTTATTAATACTTTTGAAAATAAAAAGGTTTTTTTTTGTAAAAAAAAGATGAAAAAAAAGTTGATTAATAAAGACAATCACAACAACAATCACATACATGCGAACTTAAAAACATTTCATTTTAATATTATGTCTTTTATAGTTCTAAGAACGGAAGAATGATTTACTACTCATAGACCGGAATAAGTTGTTTCAAAATTAAAAAAAATATTCCTTTTAAATCGTCGTAAAAGTACAATACACAAGAACATCTCTAGCC